TATTTACTGCTAGGTGAACAAATGCACCAGGTGTCAAGCTACATGCCCAAATGTTTGTCCTGCCATGGGGGGATGAAACACAGGAGCATCCAGTTTGTAAGCTGACTTTACAGCCAGCAGCAACTTAAGCATAACAACATTTGAGCCTTACCCAACAGGCACCAAAATTACTAACAAAATTACCGTTGCCTACGAAAACTTTCTTGAAGATGTTGATGGTGTATATGAGGCCGAGAATTTAACTACCGTACCGAGAAAAGCTTGACAACTCACTATGCCATTAATTAAAGAATTAAATCCTCTTTATGCTTGTTACAGGGCTGGAATAAGTTGACAATTATGACTCTACTAAATATATATATTTTTAAAATGAACATTCCAACTATTACCAAAACTACGATAATCTACCGTATTTGATGCCTCCTTGTGTGTTATCCAGAATGTATCATTTCATTTGAGCTTTATTTTTTAGGATACTGGGGGTAACATTTCACAGGATGCTATGTTAATAGTAATGTTATTTCTTAGAATCTTTCTGCCAACGGCTTTGCAATATATAAAGTGGAACAAATATATCTTGTTGGTTAAGCTCTTTTGCTCTTCATAATACAAAGTTGGCTATACTCCCAATACCGTAGACTAGATAGTAATTTAAACCAAATTTTGTAAGTTCAATACTGGATGCTTGATGAGCAATATATACCAACTAACCCAGCTTTACTGCCATACACAACATATCAAGAGGAAATAGGAAGCTTTATATCTACAGGTGGGATGAGGTAATGCCTCGTCCCACTCACTCTTCGAGATGATTTGCCTAATGGCTGGCAGGTTGAGAGACGTTATCTTCGACATGGTGGGTAATGACATTCTGAGCCTCATTCCCATGACCTGAGGCAGTGAAGGCTTGAGGCTCTTGAGGTGGATGAGGACCTGAGGAACTTGCTGGGCTTGTTCAGATTGTGTGACCTGGAGACACTGGCCCTTCACAGGTACAAATTCATGTGTAACACAAGAACCAGGAAGGCACAAGTAGAAGATAAAAAGTTAGAAAACATTAGGCTTTGTAAATTATTGAAAAATTTAAATAAGACTGCTTTACCAAAGAATGCATACCAAAATGTATGTATGTAATATATGTTTGTATGCATGTATGTACCGTATATGCTTTTCTCCGAGGCTATGGATTCCCTTTTTCCAGAGGGAAACTTTCCCTCCTATAGTATGAAAAATATATACTGTACTGCACTGGTATATTTTTTTTTTTACATGCAGCAGGGCAGCCATGAAGACAAAATATTGAAATTCAAAGATAAATGTAGCAATTCAAACCTGATACTCCCAATTTGAATTATATATAATTCAAAGATTTTATGCTACACATTTCCCAGAACAACCACAACTGATTCATTGTTCCTCCATAAAAAAAAAAATATATAAAAGCTGAAATATTATTAAAAACCCTGATTAAGCAAAGTATTGTGCAATAACCTAAGACCATAATATTGTACATGATGCTCACTGAATAATAGTGTACAATGTGATATTGGCAGATCTTTGGGTAATGCTTAGTAGAAAGTGCTCTTTCTACTAAGGACTTCTTGCTATAGAAGTTACAGTTTCAAGAATTCTTCTTACTATTTTGTACGTAATGATCATATTACTTCTTTTATTGCAATCGCAATAGCTATGGTATATTTAACACCTCTAGCTTCTGCAGACGATGAGTTATAATAACGTGGGTGAAGATATGATGACTAAACATCAGAAAGAAGAAACAAGGATGTTTTGGTCCAACTTGCACCATTATCAAGTCATGTTACAGAAGAGAGAAAGGTACAGGCAAATATATTAGGTAAGAGAGTGAGAAGAGAGGTGAGGAGCAGGTAAGAATAAAGTAATAAGAAGAATGTAAGAATAAGTGGAAGGTAAGAATAAAAGTTAAGCTAAAAATAAGAGGAAAGGCAAGAATATGAGTAAAGGTACGAATAAGAAACAGGGTCAAAGTTTAAGTCAGATCACGTTTGCTAAGAAGGTTGGAGCAGTTGAGTATATACTGTGAAAGGGAAGAGTCAACAGCAACAAAGCCAGGACTAAGGGTCATGTTGTGTAGGTTGTGTATCAGAGCAGATTCAGCCAGAAGGCATTTATGAAGAGTAGAGGCAGGAAAGATTATTTTAGAAGAAGACCAATCTATAGGATGATTAGTCTCTTACATGACAGAAGAGAACATTGTTTGTGTCTGCAGACTTAACACTTCTTTTATTAAGTGAACATTTTGACATCATATTTAAAATTTATAAAAAATAACTGAGAAAATGTGAAATGATTTAAAAAATTTAAGCATCACTAAGCAGGACCCACCAAATGTGCTAGATTTATGTTCAGCAATGTGAGGTGAGGACCAAGATCTATTTATTATAAATGCAATTTTGGTTTTGCATCTAATCCCTAGACAACTGTGAACATTTTGGCACTAATTTTATAGTTACTGTATAACCGAACAAATAAGGAAACTTAAGGTAAATGGTTGTAAACATTTTTCCCATCGCTGTGTGGCCCGCAAGCCACCAGCAAGCCCATTGACAGTCCAAAACATACTAAAAGATTAATTTGTCCCTTCTTTTTTCTCACTGTGTCAGCCAAGCTGGTAACTTCCTTGTCTTTCTCAGTACATATCCTTGTAAAACGTTAGTCATATTTTTAAGATCTTCAATTTCTTTTTAAAAATAAGAAATTTTCATTCCTGAAGTTTCAACAAATCCTCAACTTTTACTAACCTGCTCAGGAAACTTTTCATTATTTCTTCCTCAGTGAAACTTTTGACATTTTCCTGTTGTTGTGTTGTTCTTCCTCATGGCTGTTGCCATCTTTGCTAGTCAATGGTTTTGTTTTAAATATCAAATTTACTAATACAAATTTTTCACTCCCTCTTGCATATTTTTTATCCCTTATTTTTCAAATTCCCTGTACCTTCATGTTTTCTGAGACTCCACTCACAGTCATCAACCTATTCTACACTACCTGTACAGTACTTAGGCAATCCAACTTTTCTGGGGCTCCTAAATATAGCAGCAGGCTGGCTGGCTGTGTATGTGTAATTACCTAAGTGTAGTTACAGGATTATAGCTACGCTCATGGTGTCCCGTCTTCCCAGTACGCTTTGTCATACTACATAACGCTTTGAAACTATTGACGGTTTTAGCCTCCACCACTTTCTCACCTAACTTGTTCCAACCATCTACCACTCTATATGCGAAAGTGAAATTTCTTGTATTTTTTTGGCAGCTTTGTTTAGTTAGTTTAAATCCATGACCTCTTGTTCTTTAAGTTCCAAGTCTTGGAAATTCTTCTCTATCAATTGTATTGATTTCCATTACTATTTTGTACACAGTGATCATAGCACCTCTTTCTTCTATCTTCTAATTTTGGCATATTTAATGCCTCTAACCTCTCTTTGTAGCTCTTACTCTTCAGTTCAGGAGCCATTTAGTTGCATGTCGTTGCACCTTTTCGAGTTTGTTGATGTGCTTCTTAAGATATGGGCACCATACAACTGCTGCATATTCCAGCTATGGTCTAACAAAATGTCATGAACAATTTCTTTATTATTTCACCATCCATGTATTTAAAAGCAATTCTGAAATTAGAAAGTGTAGCATAGTCTCCTAGCACGATGTTCTTTATGTCCTCAGGTGATAGCTTTCTATCTAAAACAACCTCGGGCTGGGCTTGGGGAGTAGAAGAACTCCCAGAACCCTATCACGCAGGTGTCATCAAGCAAGTAAACCCCTAATTCTCCTTCTTTATCAGAATTTTTTACAAATTTTCCACATAATTTGTAGGTTGTGTGAGATCTATGATCTTCTATTCCACATTCCATAACATAGCATTTATTCATAATAAATTTTATTTGACAAATGGTGCTTCATACACTTTTTTTGTCCAGGTCTCCTTGAAGGGCATGACAATTGTCCAAGTTTCTTATCTTTCCTAGTATTTTAGCATCATCAGCAACATGTTCATATAATTCTATAATCCATCTGGTTGGTCGTTTAATTAGACAACGAGCATTACCATTGCAAGAACTGAATCCTGTGGATCTTCGCTCATGACATTTCTCCAGTCCGATACATTGCCTCTAATTACTGCCCTCATTTTTCTGTCAGAAAATGTTTCATCCATGTTAGAAGTGTCCCTGTCACTCCTGCAGTATGTTCCAGTTTCCAAAACAACCTTTTATTTGGAACTCTGTCGAAAGCCTTTTTTAGGTCCAGATAGATGCAGTCAACCCAACCATCTCCTTCCTATAAAATCTCTGTGGCTATCATAAAAACAGTAAATTCATTACACAAGATCTTCCAGATTGAAAACCAAATTGTCTGTTATTACATAATTTTTCTCCGGGTGTTCTGCCTATTTAATTTTAATTATTTTTACCAATACTTTGACTTACATGTGTCAATTTTACAGGTCTATAATTGAGGGGGGGGGGGCCTTCCCAGGTGCCACTTTTGTAGATTGGAATGTTAGCCTTTTTCCACACATCTGCTAGGACTCCTGTACAGTACATAGAGATTCCTGAAAAATCAGTTGAAGTGGAATGCTGAACTCAGGTGCACATTCTCTCAGAACCCACGGTAAAACTTAGTCTGGGCCAACTGCTTTGTTCTTACTTAGCTTTTTGAAAATTTTATCCACTTCATCTCTAGACACCTCTATGAGCACTATGCTGTTCTCTGGAATTCTAAATGTGTCTCGTTCTCTGAAGATTTCATTTTGCACAAACACACTTTTGAACTGTTCGTTTAATGTTTCACACCTTTCCTTTTCATTTTCTGTGAATCTGTTTCCCATTTTCAATCTCGAATATTACCCTTTACTTGCAATTTGCTTTTGTGCATGTGTGTATGTTAGTTTTAGTGTTATTGATGAATTAATCTGTTTTTGTATGTTGGGATTATATTTATACATTTGCCAAATAAGCTTTACTAAATTACCTTGGGAGTGTCGATTTGTGAGTTAACATAGGAGACGCGAACCTGGTCATCGATGTAGCCTCCAGAATCTGAGCCTGCATATCCACGATCAGACCCCAGAACTTTTGGTCTGTTAAGAGTTCGTCGCTGCCATACCACGAAGCCCCCAACACCTGTTAAAGTGAAAATCAAGTTTTTATTCCTTGAATGCTGCAGTGACAGCAATAGACAAAAGACAAGTTAAAGAACATTTAGCTTAGTTTATTATTGGTTTCATACAAGTCTAGTGACCGATGACAGAAGGGTTACAAAATTTAGTAATATCCAAGGAAACATAGTTAAATAGCACAGAATAAAACTTTGCATGAAACAAGGAGAAATCTAGACATAAGTGTGGGTACACCTCACTCTACAATTCACCTAATCGTAGGAAGTGCCGGAGGATAGGGTGAGGTGATTGTTGCTTGACTCTGGCTTCTAGTTGTCTGCCAGGTCTTCCATCTTCCCTCTGGATCAATGGAGGACCATCGAACAGTCAGAAAACAATCACCTCACCCTATCCTTCGGTGCTCTCTACAATTCGGAGGGTTAGGTGAATCGTATAGTGAGGTGTACCCCCACTTATGTATAGATTTCTCCTTGTAAGCTCAGTATACCTGTGTCAGTTGGGCAGAGTATTCCTGAAGGTGTCACATAGCTGATGAAATGTTGAACAATAAAAATGGAAAGCTTAAGCAATCTAGTGTTTCTTCACCCTCCAGATGGTAGAAGATTATATTATATATATAAATATATATATACACACAAACACACATACATAGGGTCCCTCCTAGGCCTTCTACTGACCTCCAGGCTGCAACCAAGAACAGTTATCTTACTTCCGGGTAACTATTTTACTGCTAAGTGAACACAGATATTAGGTGGACAAAAATGTACCCAACTGTTTCTGTCCTAGCTGTTGACTGAATTCAGGTTTCTTGGTTGTGAATTGTGCTGTTAGTAATAAAGTTCTAGGGTAAAATACTTACCGAGTATAACAACCAGGGAAAGAAGAACCCCGAAGACGATACCGACGATACAGCCGGGTGTGAGGGAGTCGGGGGCCAGGGCACTGACTTGCTCCTGCTGGGGGGGTAAGGCCCACGAGGTGCCGGAGTCGACCTCTAGCATGTGGTCCCCGGCAGCCAGGTCTCTGGAGTCGTCTTCCCCCACCTTACCACTGTCATGTACCATCATACCCACACACAAAACAAAAACGTTAATTTATTTATCATTCATTCTCAGCTGCCATTACTGGCATCCATTATATTTATTATATATTTTGTTTATGTTTGGTTACATTAATACAGTGTAATATTGTCCAAAATGTGAAATATCTTGTATATATCTCAAAAAAAAAAAAAAAAAAAAAAAAAAAAAAATGAATATGAATAACAAAAAAAATGTTATTCAAAACTATTTAAGTGTACCCTTTAATTTCATTTACAGGAAACCAAATTCTTCAGACAGTTTCTGAGAAAACACATTCAGCGTGTACTTTTTATATTTTAAACCAATAATTAATAATTTAATAAAGTTATAACTTGAGAATAATCTCTGTTTAGGACAGAGGTTCACTTGCCAGTTAACTAGTTAACTGGAGTTACAGTTCAGTAACTGCTAGTTCCAGTTAACTAGTTAACTGGAACTGTAATGTGCTTTCAGACCATCACAAATATCTAGATGATATCCAGGTGGTTTAATGGGAAGGTTGATTGTTCGTGGTAATGGATTTGCCGAGGACGGACTCGTACAGTATAACAACATTTTACTCTTATTTACTTTAGAACAGGTTAGGTTGAGATAGGTTATAATTAATAATTCATTGTGTTAGGGGACAGGCAGCTGAAGTGTATTTATTCACGATAGGCATACATCAAGGTCCCTTCAAGGTCTAATTACTGACCCTCCACAGGATGCAACCCCACAACAAGTGGACTAATTCCTGGGTACCTATTTACTGCTCGGTGAACATGCACATTACATGATAGGAAGTGCGCCCAATCCCCGGGATTCAAACCAGGAATTTTCGATTGATGGTCGAGAACAAACCCGATTGTGCTACAAGGACCTTAATATAGGTTAATAGGGATAGGTTATAGGTTAGATAGATTAATCTATGGTTAGCATAGATTAAGATAAGTTAGGTTTGGATAGGTTAGGACAGGTTAGGTTGGGATAGCATAGGATAGGTTTGGTTCAATTCTCGAAAAGCAATGACGTAGGGGGGTATATACTTTTCTAGGGTGTTAGACCCTATTTGTACTATGTTGATGAACTGAAGCTAGATCCTTAGCACCTAATAAATGGGTAAAAATGACCCTGTTAACACTGATAAATTAGCAAAATGACAAGAAAACCGAAACATAAGCAATTGATAAAGCGGTGCTCAGCTAAGAAGAACGGACTCGAGGTGCACTGTGAACGTATTGTAGGACTATACTGCCACAGTGTGGCAATATACAGACCTGCAATACGTGCATGATGTGACAGTATTCAGGCCTACAATGAGTACATAGTGTGGCGGTATTCAGGCCTACAATGAGTACATAGTGTGGCAGTATTCAGGCCTACAATGAGTACATAGTGTGGCGGTATTCAGGCCTACAATGAGTACATAGTGTGGCAGTATTCAGGCCTACAATGAGTACATAGTGTGGCGGTATTCAGGCCTACAATGAGTACATAGTGTGGCAGTATTCAGGCCTACAATGAGTACATAGTGTGGCAGTATTCAGGCCTACAATGAGTACATAGTGTGGCGGTATTCAGGCCTACAATGAGTACATAGTGTGGCAGTATTCAGGCCTACAATGAGTACATAGTGTGGCGGTATTCAGGCCTACAATGAGTACATAGTGTGGCAGTATTCAGGCCTACAATGAGTACATAGTGTGGCGGTATTCAGGCCTACAATGAGTACATAGTGTGGCAGTATTCAGGCCTACAATGAGTACATAGTGTGGCAGTATTCAGGCCTACAATGAGTACATAGTGTGGCAGTATTCAGGCCTACAATGAGTACATAGTGTGGCAGTATTCAGGCCTACAATGAGTACATAGTGTGGCAGTATTCAGGCCTACAAAACGTGCACGGTACAACAAATACAAATATTTATTCAGGTAAAGTACATACATACAAGGTAAGATACAAAAGTTGATGGATTTACAGATAGAGCTAGTACATACAATGCCTAAAGCCACTATTACGCAAAGCGTTTCGGGCAGGAAAAACACTAAGACTAAAATTTAATACTAATTGAGATTAAAGTATAAATTGTGTTGAGAAAAAATTAAAAAAATGGGGGGGGGGAACATGGCAGAAAAAAAGCATAAATACAAGTTGGTCAACAAACAGCATTGTTTAAAATAGAAGACATGGGTTGACATTTTGGCGGTGAGGTAGGTTACATTGAGTTAATTAGGTAGTACTTAGTTTTTATCTAAACTGGTTGAGAGAGGTACAGTCTTTAACATAATTGGGAAGGTCATTCCACATTCTGGGTCCCTTGATTTGTAAAGCATTTCTAGTTTGACTAAGTCGTACTCTTGGAATATCAAATAGGTATTTGTTTCTGGTGTGGTGCTCATGGGATCTGTTACAACCTTCTAGGAAGCTTTTAAGGTCAGGATTGACATTACAGTTCAGCGTTTAATATATATATATATATAAAATACACATGAGAGGATGTGCAGGGACTTAATATCTAACATATTCAGAGATTTAAGTAAGGGTACCGAGTGATGTCTGGGGCCAGAGTTAGATATTGTCCTAATAGCAGCTTTGTGTTGAGTAATTAGAGGACGTAAATGATTTTGGGTAGTAGAATCCCAAGCACAAGTACCATAGTTGAGATAAGGATAGATGAGAGAATAATAGTGTCACCAGGGCAGGGCGAGGTACATAATATCTGATCTTAGAAAGAATGCCAACAGTTTTTGAAACTTTTTTTGATATATTGCATGGTATGGGAATATATAGGCCTACAAGACGTTCACAGTGCACACCCTATATCTTGAATGGGGGAGGAATTTCTCCCTCATTCACATTCTTAATTCCTCACCTCATTCATTGGTTAACTCATCCACACACACTCATTCGCACACACCCACACAGCCGGTGGGTGCCGGTGGCCGAGCGGACAGCACGCTGGATACGTGATCCTGTGGTCCCGGATTCGATCCCGGACGCCGGCGAGAAACAATGGGCAGAGTTTCTTTCACCCTATGCCCCTGTTACCTAGCAGTAAATAGGTACATGGGAGTTAGTCAGCTGTCACGGGCTGCTTCCTGGTGTGTGTGTGTGTGTGTGTGTGTGTGTGTGTGTGTGTGTGTGTGTGTGTGTGTGTGTGTGTGTGTGTGTGTGTGTGTGTGTGTGTGTGGGGGGGGGGGGGGGTGTGATGTGGTGTGGTGTGGAAAAAAAGTAGTAGTTGAAACAGTTGATTGACAGTTGAAAGGCGGGCCGAAAGAGCAAAGCTCAATCCCCGCAAGCACAACTAGGTGAATACACACTCATTCACACACACACACACACGCCCATACAACACACACCCAACAGGAGCATCGCGGCTGAGTGGACAGCGCTTGGGGTCGTAGTTTTAAGGGCCCGTGTTCGATTCCCGGCGGGGGCGGAAACTGATTGGCAGTTTCTTTCACCCTGATGGCCCTGTTCACCTAGCAGTAAATAGGCACCTGGGAGTTAGACATCTGCTACGGGCTGCTTCCTGGGAATGTTTGTGTGCGCGCGTGTACGCCTGTGTAGTAGAGAAATATATGTAGTGGACATCAAAGAGGAAAAATAGATTGGTTAGAAAGGCGGGGTCCAAGAGCTAATAGCTTGATTCTGCAAGCACAAATAGTAAATACACACACTCACATACGCACACAGGCACGCACAAACTAGCTAAACACAGATGCCGAAGAAATATAAGAAAATTCACCTTCGCAAATAGAGTGGTAGACGGTTGGAACAAGTTAAGTGAGAAGGTGGTGGAGGCCAAGACCGTCAGTAGTTTCAAAGCGTTATATGACAAAGAGTGCTGGGAAGACGGGACACCACGAGCGTAGCTCTCATCCTGTAACTACACTTAGGTAATTACACTTAGGTAATTACACACATTAAGGGGCCTGGTAGCCTGGTGGATAGCGCGCAAGACTCGTAATTCTGTGGCGCGGGTTCGATTTCCGCACCAGGCAGAAATAAATGGGCAGTTTCACCCTGAATGCCCCTGTTACCTAGCAGTAAATAGATACCTGGGAGTTAGTCAGCTGTCACGGACTGCTTCCTGGTGTGTGTGTGTGTACTCACCTATTTGTACTCACCTATTTGTGCTTGCGGGGGTTGAGCTTTGGCTCTTTGGTCCCGCCTCTCAACTGTCAACCAACTAGCGCGCTGTGTGTGTGTGTGTGTGTACTCACCTAGTTGTACTCACCTAGTTGTGTTTGCGGGGGTTGAGCTCTGGCTCTTTGGTCCCGCCTCTCAACCGTCAATCAACAGGTGTACAGATTCCTGAGCCTATTGGGCTCTATCATATCTACACTTGAAACTGTGTATGGAATCAGCCTCCACCACATCACTTCCTAATGCATTCCATTTGTCAACCACTCTGACACTAAAAAAGTTCATTCTAATATCTCTGTGGCTCATTTGGGCGCTCAGTTTCCACCTGTGTCCCCTTGTGCGTGTGCCCCTTGTGTTAAATAGCCTGTCTTTATCTACCCTATCAATTCCCTTGAGAATCTTGAATGTAGTGATCATGTCCCCCCTAACTCTTCTGTCTTCCAGCGAAGTGAGGTTCAATTCCCGCAGTCTCTCCTCGTAACTCATACCTCTCAGCTCAGGTACTAGTCTGGTGGCAAATCTTTGAACCTTTTCCAGTTTAGTCTTATCCTTGGCTAGATATGGACACCATGCTGGGGCTGCATACTCCAGAATTGGCCTGACATATGTGGTATACAAAGTTCTGAATGATTCTTTACACAAATTTCTGAATGCCGTTCGTATGTTGGCCAGCCTGGCATATGCCGCTGATGTTATCCTCTTGATATGTGCTGCAGGAGACAGGTCTGGCGTGATATCAACTCCCAAGTCTTTTTCTTTCTCTGACTCCTGAAGGATTTCCTCTCCCAGATGATACCTTGTATTTGGCCTCCTGCTCCCTACACCTATCTTCATTACATTACATTTGGTTGGGTTGAACTCTAATAACCACTTGTTCGACCATTCCTTCAGTTTGTCTAGGTCTTCTTGAAGCCTCAAACAGTCCTCTTCTGTCTTAATCCTTCTCATAATTTTGGCATCATCCGCAAACATTGAGAGAAATGAATCTATACCCTCCGGGAGATCATTTACATATATCAGAAACAAGATAGGACCGAGTACAGAGCCCTGTTGGACTCCACTGGTGACTTCACGCCAATCAGAGGTCTCACCCCTCACCGTAACTCTCTGCTTCCTATTGCTTAGGTACTCCCTTATCCACTGGAGCACCTTACCAGCTACACCTGCCTGTCTCTCCAGCTTATGTACCAGCCTCTTATGCGGTACTGTGTCAAAGGCTTTCCGACAATCCAAGAAAATGCAGTCCGCCCAGCCCTCTCTTTCTTGCTTAATCTGTGTCACCTGGTCATAGAATTCTATTAAGCCAGTCAGGCAAGATTTACCCTCCCTGAACCCATGTTGTCGATTTGTCACGAAGTCCCTTCTCTCCAGATGTGCTACCAGGTTACGCTCGCTCACTCATTCACATACACACCTACAGCAATAGTAAAAGCACACGCGGTTCGATTCCCGGCCGATACCGAATGGGAGATGAAGACCTTCACGAAACGGGCAGAGAGAAAGATCTTGGGGTTGATAACACGCCAAACCTGTCTCCTGAAGCCCACATCAAAAGAATAATATTGGCGGCGTATGCGAGGCTGGGTAACGTCAGAACTGCCTTCAGAAACCGATCCTTCAGAACCTTGTGTACCAGATATGTAAGATCACGCCTGGAGTATGCGGTCCCAGCATGGATCCCGTACCTTGTCAAGCACAAGACGAAGGTGCAAAAAGTTCAGAGGTATGCTACTAGACTAGTCCCAGAACTAAGAGGCATGAGTTACGAGGAAAAGGCTGACTGAACTACACTGCACTGCACTTCACGTCGCTGGAAGACAGAAGAGCTCGGGGGAGACATGATCACCACATACGAAATTCTCAGGGGAATTGCCAGCATGGTTTATTTAACACGGGTGGAACACGAACAAGGGAACAAAAATGGAAACTTAGTACCCAAATGAGCCACAGATACATTAGACGGATTTTTTTCAGCGTCAGAGTAGTTAACAGATGGAATGCATTAGGCAGTGATGTGGTGGAGGCTGACTCCATACACAGTTTCAAATGTAGATATGATAGAGCCCAGTAGGCTCAGGAATCTGTACATCAGTTGATTGACAGTTGAGAGGCAGGACCAAAGAGCCAAAGCTCAACCCCCCCGCAAGCACAACTAGTTGAGTACACACACACACACACACACTTACTCATTCACACATACTCTCGCTCACTCATTCACACACACGTGCTGTCCCCTTTTGAGTATTGCTTGGTACTCACTTTCCTTTTCAGAGCGGGAGAGATCTCTGAATTAGAGGGAATACAGAGAACATATATGGCACGCATAGAAACGATAAAACATCTAAATTATTGAGACCGTCTCAAAGCTCTCAAAATGTACTCTTTGGAAATGAGACGAGAAAGGCATCAATATATATATATATATATATATATATATATATATATATATATATATATATATATATATATATATATATATATATATACACACACACACACACCAGAAGATACTGGTGTGTGTGTTTGTGTGTGTGTGTGTGTGTGTGTGTGTGTGTGTGTGTGTGTGTGTGTGTCATTCACACACTGGCCACACTCACTGTGTGTGGGGGGAGGGGAGGTGAAGGGGAGCACTCACAGGGAAGCCCCACCTGCGGTAGGCTGAGAGTAGCGGTGTTGGGTTCGTCATCTACACTGCCTGAGGCAGCGATGGCCACGTGGATATACAGGAAGGTACATGGTGCTGCTTTAATTGTAATGCTTGTTGAGCGAGACGCGTGTGGTACTCACATATAGTGGGTGGTGGGGGTTTGTTACTCACGTGTTAGGGTGCGTGGGGGGCACCTCGGGTATGGGGTGCTCCTGAGACGGCAGCTCCTCCTTGGTCACATCGAAGTCGGGCAAGTCGCCATTGTTGAGCGGGTCGTTGTAGCTGTCGGTGTACTCCTCGCCGGGGTGTGGTGCGGGGCTCGGGTCTAGTGGAGTGATCGTGGTTACTGTGTCTGGTACTTCTGCAGGTACTGGTTTTGGTTGCCCTTCTGTTTGTCCAACTGGTTCTCCTTGTTCACTATGCCCCACCACAGGTTCGATTTCCGAAGGCGTCTCTGATACTACGTCAGGTTGGGAATCTTCGTTTCCTTCGTCGGATTCTTCAGCAAGAGAGGAGTTGCGTGGAATTTCTGTGGAGATATCGGCGTCTTCTAGTGATGGCTCTTCCACTTGTCCCTCTGTGGACGAGACCTCTGGAGGAGCTTCTGGAGTTGGGGAAGTCATACTCATGATCTCCAACCCACTGCTGGCAAGTTTGGTGCCACTACCGACGTGTGTGCTGGGCTTCTCGGCCTGTGTTATCTCTTCAGAATCTTCACGAGGATCTTCAATGTAAACACGGGATTTGCGAATGGTCTCTGGTGAGAGTCCTTTGGGCGGCAAGACTCTGGTTTCCTCTGGTGCAGTCTCTGCCACACCCTCTGACTCCGGTGTACCTTCGCGGACGATAGCTTCGTCAGCGTCACTTCTCTCCACAACATCAATGTCAGCCAAGCTACCCATCACAAATGTTGGCACTTCCTCTTGAGAACCTTTCTGACCAAGTTCCGCTGACTCCTCACTGTCCAGGTCCCTCACTGGTTCCATGGCTCGCACACTTACTGCGCCCAATTCCTCAGTTCCTGGAGTTTTTACTGTTTCAGCTGTAACTCCTTCAGTATGCTCTTTTATTCCTTCAGTATGCTCCTCTGCTACATCTGCATGCTCTTCTATTTGTTCTTCCACTCCTTTAGCACGTTCTTCTGCTCCTGCATGCTCTTCTGATTCTTCAACATGTTTTTCCGTTGCTTCTGCATACTCTTCCGCCCCTTCAGCATGCTCTTCCGCCCCTTCAGCATGCTCTTCCGCCCCTTCAGCATGCTCTTCCGCAGATTCACTTTTACCTTCTGACGTCTCCTCTACACCTCTGACGTGGCTACGTTTATCTAATAATTCTCCAATTTCCTCGTGTTCCCCCGGTGTATGTCCTTGAGCGCTGCCTGCCCCAGCGTGGTGGTCCACGACCACCTCACCATCGTTATGGTCCCCATGGGCCTCCTCCTCTTGCTGCTCCTGCCCTCTTACACCCGTTGGCACCGCCTTCGCGTGGGTAACATCAGTAGCTTCCTCTGGCACCGTCCCGTCAGAGTGTCGAGTGCCATCCTGGTGTGTGGCAGGCAGAGCGTGCAAGTAATCTGAGTGACCCTGCTCTGTTTCCCCTGACTCCTGATCGTTTCCACCTAATGGGTGATTGTCGGGTGAGGTAGGCGGGGTCGTAGCTGTTGGGATAGGAGGGTCGTCTTCCGGTAGTTCGCCAGAGGTTGCCTGGGAGGCGGCTGTGGCCTCATTCACCTCTTCACTCACCTCAAATGTCACGTGACGGACCTCGTGAGTGACCTGGACGTGAGTGGCATCATGGGCGGTGAGGGAGGGCAGGTCGCTGGGCAGCGGGGAGCAGGTCACCGCACCCACCACCAGCAGCAGCCTCAACACTGAAACAATATACTGTTATTAGTACACCACGAAACTAAGTCATCTTCATCACTCACCAACAATGATTGTCCCTCAATGTACCATTGATCTGTCACTGCACGTGACGCCATAAGACAATGTATTTATGTAAATGTTATGTTTACATGAGAGGTCTTCACATGCTCGTATCTGCACCACGTTTAGTTACTGGACCTTGAACAATAATAATACATCACCAACCCGTCATCAGGCTGTGCTCCTCCATGTAGCGCCCGACCCCAACACTTCCTCAAAAGGAGGCACCTGTCATAACGTAAGGTTCTTTCGTTATGACAGGTGACGTTGTTTATAACAATAATAACCTTGAGACGTTGTTTATAACAATAATAACCTTGAGACGTTGTTTATAACAATAATAACCTTGAGACGTTGTTTATAACAATAATAACCTTGAGACGTTGTTTATAACAATAATAACCTTGAGACGTTGTTTATAACAATAATAACCTTGAGACGTTGTTTATAACAATAATAACCTTGAGACGTTGTTTATAACAATAATAACCTCGCGTTATGTTGTTTCAAGCCTATAAACTGTTAATAAATGTAAACAAAAACCCCATGTTTGCTGAAAGAATTACAGGGTTCGTAAGTGGTTGCATAAATACTTAATGAATCCTGGCCCAGTTTTCATTGTGATTTCTTCAGTGTCTTAAGCAGCCAATAGGACTGGTTGGTACAGCGACGGTCTCTCCTCTTGCAGGATCGGAGTTCAATCCCCAGATGACTGGGGAGTTCCTTCAAACCATCGCCATACACCAGCTCTTATGCTGTCCTCCATAAACCTCTAGAGTGCTATACAGTGTTCCCCTTACCTGCTCTACCGCGTAGTGGCAGATGTGCCGGATCGCAGGTATTGAGTCGTCTAGTGTGAAGGTGTAGAGCAGGGCGGCCGTCACTCTCTGAGGCAGCCCTAACCGTGGTATGGAGGATTTCATACCTTTTGACTTACGAAAGCCTTTTTCATAGGTGTGGGAGCAACGGTACGTGGCGAGGGGCGTACTAGTCCTGAGGGGTTGCTATACCAGCTATGGCGGGCCGGGAGGCTGTGGGGGTGTGACGGGCCGGGCAGGCAGGGAGGGAGGGAGCCGATCGATGAGTGGGTTGGCGGTTATTTCACTGTGGCCACCACCACCCTGCCACACGCACCCGGTCCTAATTGACACCATCACCACCACCACCACCGGTGACAACACCATCATAGTCAACACTCTCAGTCACAACCGTCACTGACATTGCTATCACTGACACCATTATCATTGGCAATGCCGTCACTGATATCATTAGTGATATCACTATCACTATATCAATAGCGTCACTGATACCTATGTCTTGCTATTTTCAAACATTATTGATTATTGACCAACTTGTTTAACTGCTGATATCTGCCATACATAAACTTAAAAAAAAATTGTAATCAGTTTATTTAGTTAAAATTCCTTCTGCTGTCCCGTTGCATTTTCTGCTGCTCTCTCCATCATGTAGTTATTATCATTCTCTTTTTCTTTTTTTCCTTTTTACAATTAAATTTATGCTTTTAATCTCAATTAGTATTAAGTTTATTACCCCCCCCCCCCACCTTGGCCACGGTGCGGGTATTAGTGGCTCCAGGTGTTGCATGCACTATACTTGCTTTATCTATTAATCCCATATTATGTTTGTAACATTATTTTCAATGTAATACATTTATCTGAATAAATATCTTATCTTATTAACTACAATACACACTGTAATCCCACTAACGTGACTGTAGGGGCGGGTCAGTTACAGCCCCGCTCCTGTGCCAGTAAGTCCACTACGGGCTCACCATAGTCCGTGCTACTTGCAACTTTTTGTTCCCAGGAGCTGAATCTATAACAAGGTGACTAGGGACAGTGATGAGGGTTCGAACCTTTGCGGTGGGTGTTCCCCTCACACGCTTATCCCACGCTCAGGAAATCCACCACCTCACGCCCCACGTGTCTCACGACCCACCTGCCTCATATCGCCCTTGCCTCATGTCCCAACTGTTACGTCTTTCCCAGATGTTGAGTCAGTGACGGTGTGTACACTTACAGCTGTTTACACATGTGCCCAGACATACATTATATCAAAATCAAAGTCAAAGCCCTCCAAATGTACTCACTAGAATGAAGACGAGAGAGATATCAAATAATATACACCTGGAAGATACTGGAGGACCAAATCTACACAGTAAAATAACAACGTACTGGAGTGAACGATATGGAAGAAAATGCAGAATAGAACCAGTGAAGAGCAGAGGTGCCGTGGGCACAATCAGAGAACACTGTATAAACATCAGAGGTCCACGGTTGTTCAATGTCCTCCCAGCGAGCATAAGAAATATTGCCGGAACAACCGTGGACATCTTCAAGAGGAACTAGATTTATTCCTCCAAGGAGTGCCGGACCAACCGGGCTGTGGTGGGTATGAGGGCCTGTGGGCCGCTCCAAGCAACAGCCTGGTGGACCAACCTCACAAGTCAAGTCTGGCCTCGGGCCGGGCTTGGGTAGTAGAAGAACTCCCAGAACCCCATCAACCAGGTCCAGGTATATATATATATATATATATATATTAGTATATTTTGGTAGCAGTCTTTCCTGTAGACATATATTATTAAATATGACCGAAAAAGTAAGATTAATAATTCTAACACGAATTTTCTCGATCTTTCTTACGTTTCTTTTCACTGTTGTAATTCAAAGATCAATTCTCCAAAATTCATTTTTATTTCTAGTCTGACGCGAGACTTGAGAGCGTTTCGTAAAACTTATTACATTTTCAAAGACTTTAGTTTATAAACACACAACTGAAACTGAATAGAGCTTACACATCTTCGATTTTATATCTACATTTGGGTGAGGTGGATGAGGTGAAAACAAACTTTCAACAATGGGTATTGAATGGGTATTAAATTCAAACACAAGACAGAACACGAAACAATGGGTATTGAATGGAAGTAATTGTAGAAAGCCTATTGGTCCATATTTCTTGATGCTTCTATATTGGAGCGGAGTCTTGAAGTGGGTAGAATATAGTTGTGCATTAATTGGCTGTTGATTGCTGGTGTTGACTTCTTGATGTGTAGTGCCTCGCAGACGTCGAGCCGCCTGCTATCGCTGTATCTATCGATGATTTCTGTGTTGTTTGCTAAGATTTCTCTGGTGATGGTTTGGTTGTGGGAAGAGGCTATATGTTCCTTAATGGAGCCCTGTTGCTTATGCATCGTTAAACGCCTGGAAAGAGATGTTGTTGTCTTGCCTATATACTGAGTTTTTTGAGGCTTACAATCCCCAAGAGGGCATTTGAAGGCATAGGCGACGTTGGTCTCTTTTAAAACGTTCTGCTTTGTTTCTGGAGAGTTTCTCATGAGTAGGTGTTACGACCCTGGGTTCTCCAGTGGAAACCAGAGGTCAAAATTGAGCTATTAAACTTCCTAAGTAGTACAGTTGGCGCATTTCGAATGGAAATTGTTTGTATCTTCCCTGCCAGACGTAAGACTATTATTGTTTCTCAAAGAGCATTTAAAGACAGAGCTGGGGGTTGATTATTAAATAATATCATAGGCACCAACTTTGCTTACTAATACTTTCTAATCATTCATAAAGTAACAATACGTTGCATAGGGGAAGATCTTTAATGTGCTTAGCTGCACGATCAATTAGGCTCCTCCCGGCACCACGATGAGGGAGGCAGCAGGTGGTCGCGAGGAGCTCGCTCTTCTCTTGGCTGGTGGCGTGAGGTTAAGACCTACTCTGTGGCTGTATCCCTACTCTCCTTCCTTCTCCTCTTACTTATTTCCCTTACCTGAAGTTCCTGTACCCTTAAGTTAAGTATTATATGGTGTAAGTGTGCCTACTCTGGTAGTAACGATTGGGGAGACCTGGGGATAGTATTTTGCCAGTGTTTGGGTACCCCTAAGTGTTGTGTTTTGTATTAGGGTCCCACGTGGTTTCACTACCCTAAGCTGCATCCAGCTTCAGTGCTTATCCAGTAGTACTTTACCCTAGCTTGTTATTAGTGTAAACCTTGTATCCTGCCTACGTGGACCAAGGCTTTTAACGTAAGATAGTGTGGTAAAGTTATTATTATTATTGTTATTGGTGTGAGTGTATATGGGGGGTTGTTAACGGGTTAATAAATAAGTACATGAATTACAGAGTATCTCTTCTTCCAAGGTGGGAGCGCAGTGATCAACCCTTAGACGAACATATTTGGTCTTGTAGCAAGTTATTACTACTGTGGATAGTTTATTTTGGGGGCCGGGCCTTTTAGCTCTCCCATATTTGATACTCCTGTCTTCTAACTACCTATACCCCTTAATAGTACCAGTACCCCATAGAAGCCCCACTCATATCATTTGTAACAGTAGGCTGGCCGTTTTTTTGGTTTTATAGTAAATTGTCAGTTGTATCTTCTGATTTTTGTCTGTAGGGATAACGTTTCTACTGACAATATCTTTCAGGACCCTTTCTTCCGTTTTATGGGCTGTGGAAAAGAAGTTCCTGTAAAATAGTCTAATAGGGGGTATAGGTGTTGTGTTAGTTGTCTCTTCAGAGGTTGCATGGCGTTTCACTTTCCTTCTTATGATGTCTTCCATGAAACCATTGGAGAAGCCGTTGTTGACTAGGACCTGCCTTACCCTACAGAGTTCTTCGTCGACTTGCTTCCATTCTGAGCTGTGGCTGAGGGCACGGTCGACATAAGCGTTAACAACACTCCTCTTGTACCTGTCTGGGCAGTCACTGTTGGCATTCAGGCACATTCCTATGTTTGTTTCCTAAGTGTAGACTGCAGTGTGGAAAACTCCGCTCCTTTCCATGACTGTTACATCTAGAAAGGGCAGCTTCCCATCCTTTTCCATCTCGTAAGTGAAACGCAACACAGAATTCTGCTCAAATGCCTCCTTCAGCTCCTGCAGATGTCTGACATCAGGTACCTGTGTAAAAATGTCGTCAAC